GGACCTGGGCACACAGAATGTTGTGCCTCTCGGAGCACTCAATGATCTCGAAAATGGCCTCGAGACCATGGATCCACTCATCAACTAGGCGAGGATCTCCCTGCCCCAAAAACGTATCTGGGTTGTAGCCGCGAAACTGGGCGACTACCTCAGCCTGAGTCATCTCTCTCTGAGCTTGGTTCGGACGATGGGCCATTTGTGAAAAAGCCGCGTAACTGGGTCATAACAGGAGATGAAATTGAATAAGGTTGAAAGGAAACGCTGAATTACTGAAATAGGCACAAATTTCTTGACGAGTTGCTGAAAATAACTCGATAATCTAGAGTTCGACTAGAGTTTGAATCTAGAGTTCTGAATTCTGATAGAGGACATATCTGATACTGCTAGGAGTCTTATACTGGTTTGAGCATCTAAAGTTTGGATTATCTGAATCCTATTGAGCATAGACATAGTACAATTTGCTTATATAAACTATGAAAAAATTTTACAGCATGCACTAACTTGGTAGTCGGCGCGGCGTTAGTGTGGTGTGGTCGGGTTTTTGTAAAATTTCCTGTCTTTTAAAACATTCAGAAGCACAAAAGTGCTCTGATACCAGCTGCAACACCCCGCTACTGAGGGAAAATTTTTCACAAATTCTACCTTCGAAAACGCTTATAATTTTTTCGCAATCATTTGCAAACTTATCTTGGGATGCTGCTAAAAACTTATTTTCTTTGGAAATCCATTTTCCTTAACTAGGTTTATCAACTGGTTTAGACTTTAAGAAAATCAGATTTAAATCTTTTATCGAATCTTGCATATTAATTGGTCCCGTTTGTACTGGCGAACTAGAAAAATTATTTAAGTCTGAAAGTATTGTCATGCAAGTTCGAAATAAAAGCAAGCATAGCAGAAGTCTGAAAATGCGTGCAAATATTAGTTATACAAAACATGATAACAAATGTCCCTGGAACGGCTCGCTGTGCCATCTCCACGACCACAACCACCACAGTTGGACTCACGCCTGCCCGCCGACCCTGCCATCTGAAAATATAAAGTGGGGGTGAGTACGGTCGACTTGTACTCCATAAAAACCCATTCTAAGGTAAACAACAATAATAATAATGATATCACAGAACCGGTATATATAAATAAACTGAAATCTCCCCGAACACTATGGCCGGTAACTCCAGGAACACTTTGGCCGGTAACCGTGTGCACACTCTGATGTTATAATTATGGCGAATTGGGCCACCACCAGAACTTAGGGAAGGCAAACTTGGCCTTAACCCCAAGCGGATAAAACTCATATACATACCTGAACGTGATATCGACTATTATACTCAATCTATAGCCCAGACTGGGACCCCATCTGATCTGCTTCGAAAATATGTAAGTGCGGCTGTGCTGGTAGCTGAGTCCTCAAGCTACATAAAAATATAAGCAACAAAAATACTAAGTACTATGCTCGTCATGTGCTCATTAATATGCTAGGATGCTTTACGTCTATCAGATTACTCATCCGGATAAAAAGGAAAGCTCTATGGGTTCACTAAAATCATACTATGTCCGGAATTTGGACTGACATGCTCAACTGATCTGCTTTGGCTCGGAAAAATTACTAGAATTTTAGAATAAGACTCAGACCGAAAATCACGAACTAAAACTGCCTCGAACCGTCGGCTAAACCGGCAGGTTCGCTCACTAACTGAACCGGGTCAGACCGCCAGTTCACTCTGGACAGGGTGGTCACGGGCTGCATGGACTGGCCGGGCTCGGTCCCGCACAGGGCCTGCCGGTGTGATGAGGATGTGGTCATCGACCTATCTGAGCCCAAGGATGAGACGCGCTCGAGCCACGGGAAGTGGCACGAGAAAGGTCGGTATGACCGCGGAAGCCGTGCCAAGGAGGTTCGCGAGGATTGCGCATGGAGAATCATGCGAGGCGTGGACACGCTGTACGCGGGAGTCGCGTAAACCAGTGCATGGGAATGGGACGCACGAGACCGAGTCGCGACAATGGCACGACGGGAGGTTCGCGACGGGTGACCCAGAAGCGGCGCCGTGAGCGAGATGAGGTTGGTACGAGGGTCAATCGCGGGCAGGCGAAGGAAGCGAAGCGCAAACATGCGGACGGCGTGTACGCGGCGGAGGAACCGGGCGGTGCGCGAGGGGAGGATGTTGGGGGGCTAGCACGCACCGCGACCAGCCAAGGACGAGCAGTGGAGACCGATGTATGGGCTACGCACGTGAAGGCCAATGGCGTGCGAGACGACGCGCGCGAGGGAGGCGCCTGCGAGAAGACCGCATCCGCGCGCAACGCGTACAGGCACGCGGGCGGGTGCGGCAACGCGCGAAGTACAGCTGGCGGGTGCATGAGACGCGACGCGCAAGGACTGGCGAGCATGAGTCCTTGAAGGACTAGGAGTACCGCGCCGCCTAGGGATGAACAGCGCGACTTGGGGCGCAAGGCAGAAAACGCGTGGGACGCGTGGGGCGCGATGGAGCCCATGACCTCGAAGGACAAGGACTAGCCGTCGCGACTAGGGTTTGGGCAAGGCGCAAGACGCGTGAAGTTTCTAGATGACCAAGGGCCGATTTTCTTAGCACGATTAGAAATATTAGTATGGTTAGGATTTGGAATAAAAGGCATGTGCCTAATAGTATCTTAGTAGTTTCAGTAAGTCTTTATTCATTAGATATTTAGTTTCCTTAGGACTTTATTTATTTCCATGCATTAGGAGTTCTTCTTAGACTAGGATTAGACTTAGTTTGGCATCTATAAATATGCCCAATTGTCATTCGAAAATACATGTCTTGAATTAATGAAAATGTGGAACCTTGTGTTCAAATTCTTGTGTTAGATTTCTTTTGAGATTTAGTGCAAAACCCTTGTTACGAGAAGGGCGTTCCACCGCATTGCTCGAGCAAGACGAGTTTGGCAAGGACTCATGTCCGAGCTGTCTCACCTATCGCGAGAAGATAAGGAGATTAACCTCCGAGTCATCCGCAACCCTCGCCGAAGATCGAGTTCACGCAACGTCCGAGGCTAGGTCACGAGTCGGGAACACGCGATTCTTCATCATTGGTGCTTTCATTGAGAGAACCAATCACGTGTTCTTTATCCTATCCCTTTCTTTAAATTTTGAGTCTTAAAAAAAAAAAAAATATATGGCCAAGAAAACGAAGGAGAAGCTCGTGGACTTGGAGGCGAAGATGACGAGCCTAGGCGAAGGATTGGAGGCCACCAATGCATCCATGACCGACAATCTCACGCACCTTGAAAGTTCGTTCCATAATTCGCAACAAGTACGCCATGAACCAAAGGATCGACGAGGTCCTACGCTTCGTGCGGCAACCGTCGCCACGGGGTCGACCAAGGGCACGATCACGGGAGTACGAACGCGAGCGACCGGAGTATGAGGAGAGGGAGGACGACTTCGATCGTCGATCTCACGCCTCGACCAACGTAGGGCGACTTAGGGTCGAGAAGCCAAAGATTGTGCTGTCGACGTTCAACGGGACCGATCCTGACGCGTGGCTCAATCGAGCCGTGCAATATTTTCATCTCAATGAGATTGCCCGAGCCGAGTGGTTAAGGTATGCAGCCTACTACCTTGACGACGGCGAGGCTAATGTTTGGTGGCAGTGGCTCTCGAGTATCTACCAAAACCGCCATGAGCAAATTCGGTGGGAAAATTTTGAGAAGGAGCTCATCACAAGGTTTGGCGCATCGGACTACCACAATTATGATGGGGCTCTCGCACACATCAAGCAAACGGGAAGCCTGCGAGAGTATCAAAGGGAGTTCGAGCGTATAGCATGTCGCGTACGCGGATGGCCCGAGGGAGCATTTGTCGGGGCATTCGTAGGGGGATTGAAGTTCGAGCTGGCCGCGGAGGTTCGGTTAGTGAGGCCCGCGACGATGCGTGAAGCTATGGAGGTCGCGCGTAGACGCGACGATCACTTGGTCGCGACGAGAAAGGTCGGGCGCAATGACAACCGCTTCACCGAGCCACAACGGGCAATGCCTAGCGAGACCAACCTCACCCGAGACGCGAGTTGTGGAGTGCCTAGCAATTTCAGGCCGCGACCACCAGAGGTGAAGAACTTAACCTCTGAGGAAATTCAAAGAAGGCGAGAGAAAGGTCTCTGCTTTAAGTGCGAGGAGAAGTTTACTCCGGGCCATCATTGCAAACAGGTTTACTCTACGATGATCTTGATTAAGTTAGGTGTCTGCTCAAAAATAGTGGTTTCCTCAAATTTAATAGATAGGGCTTCTATTTCTTCCTGTAACTTATTTATATTAGAAGGGATCTTGCATAAGTTCAAATCGTCTTGTGAATGAACAGAAGAATTCGATTTCTTTTTTTGTTTGTACATTTTCAATACATCAAATACTTTATAAGGACTATCTACAACATTTGATAGTATTTGTTCATCTTTTAAGTCTTTATCAAAACGAGAACAGTCGGTCGAATGAAAGGCAAAATTCAAGGGGGTATCTATTAGTCTATTAGTTTGTTAAAAGGAGGGAACTCCTCAGACTCTGAAGACCGAGCCAGGCCCTCGCTAGAGGGTTTCAATCCAGCTCATAAATAGAAGGATTAGCGCCAACTTCAAGAGTGGATCACAGGCATCCAATAGCAAAAGGATCGGCCCATCGGTTAAAAAAAAGCAGGAAAACCGTGGACTCGGAAGAAGGATCCAGGTGCTTTCCCCTCTGAACCAGATCGAAAGCGAAAGAGGGAGGATGCAAGGCTCTCCCGAAAGGTGTAAATCCAGCCTCGGAAGTCGATCGCATTCATTATAGCTCCTGCTATTACTATTAATAAGGATCTCAAGGCGCTCAACCCCAAAGGGGAGATCTCTAATGGAGTAGTTGGATCGATAGCTCAAAGGGGGATGAAAGAGCGTAGTCGGCCCAAGGGGTTTTATCCTTTAATAAGTAGAAATATTAGCATTGAGCGAGAAGTCCAAGGCTCGTACCGACGGCTCGGCCGAAAGAGAAAGGTGGGAATGGATCCCCAAAGAGGTATTTATAGCAAAACGTCTTCAAAGCGGCTCTTGGGCAACTACACTATAAAGATAAAGGTTGATACCGTCAATTAAAAGTGAAATCGAGGGCGGAAGATGAATCCAGGGCCGATGGGAGGAAGGCCTTGAAATCCTTGAAGTATTTGCTGGAGGCTTGGCTCAAGGTGGTGAATGAACAACCTCGTTAGCGCTGTTGGGTCGGACCTCAACATTGGCTATCGGTTATTCGGTTAATAAGGGCTGAATCCTTGATATTTCACTCCTCAGACTTGTCAGAACGATCGGAAGTAAATCCAGCCTTAAGCCGTCCAAAGTATTAAGGGCGTGAAGGGGCAGATTGGTAAGCTCGAACGTTCAACCTCATTCGGGTAAAGGGATGCGGAATCCATAAGCAATCTCGGTCAAGAACGAGATTTAGCAGTAGTTAAACAGAGTCCCCTGCTCCTCGGGTTTTCCAATACATAGCTAATAGCCAATTGTAGAGATCGGAGGCAGGTATATTCCGATAAGTCCAGCGAAGATCAGTAGTATCGGTCAAGCCCCCGCGTGAGATGAAAAGGTCTGAGAAAAGGTAGTCCAACGGGGATTTCAGCAAGAGTAGCCGGAGAAGTTAGGTCGTTAGCAGCTAGGCCGGGAGTGGAAGTCCCGGATCAGTGAGTTAAAGAGCCTTATAGAATTTCTATCTACGTGATCGGGAAAGAGCGAAGGCGTAAGGTCTAATTCCGAGTGAGGAGTAATAAGGGGTCTTCAGACCGGTATCCAAGGGTCCAGGGTTTCAGTAATAGGCTACAGATCTGGTTAAAGAGGTAGAACCCCCGCAGAAGATGTCACGAAAAGATCAGAAGAGCGGGGAAGTAAGGGCGCTTGCCCGAGAGCTCAAGAGCAAAGGCGAGATCCAGTAGTTAAAGTAGTTCCTTCTTCAGTACTAGAAAGAGGAATGATCCTTCAAGCGGTAGCTCAAAGAAGGCGTAATACTCTGATCTGACAGGAGTAAAGGGCAGCAACCCTTTCTTGAGTAGTTGTCTTGAGCTCGGAAGATGGATCCAGGACCTGGTCCAAAGGTCGGAATCCAGCTTATAAAGGTGTTCGATCGAATAAAAGGCGAAAGGACGAAAAGAGGGGAGAGCAGGTCTCTGGGTAGGCGCATCTCCAGTTTCTAAAGAATATAATAGTAGTTCTTTGTCCTGTAAGGGACATTCGAAGGAATTGCTAGACTGAAAGCGATAATCATTTGTCGCGAAAACGGATCCCGTATAAAGCCCTCGTATACCGTACGGGCGAGATCTGGGTAGAAATAGTCAAGTCTAGGAATAAGAGCAAGGGAGATCCTATTGGCGAGAGCTCTCAAGAGTAAGTTCCTAATAAGAGCTAGTGAGATCTTGGGATCAAGAGGACTAGTACAAATATTTGAGTCAACTACGGGAGAGGAGCCAAGAGTTCCAGCTGCAGCGGAGTTATGATCAACATCACTTATTCCGGCTATAGTACGCGAAAGGCCATGTCTGCGTCTTTCGTTGAAAGTTCCGCTTAAAGGAAGAGCAGTAGTAGTATAGCTATGAGGAGAAAGCGGTGGATGAACAGGTCAGCGGTGGTCGATTGACCCCTAGCAGTTATGAGTTCCGAGTCTGGTTCGAAGGGCGGATAGACAGCGGCCACTCTAGCTTTATGGGAGTAAGAGTAAGGGCTATAGGTTCAAGCGGTGGATCGGTCCAGTTATCGGTGAGAGCTTCTGGAGTAGGAGTATAGGGTTAGCGGAGGTTCCAAGCGATCTTTCTGGGATAGGCACGAGTAGCCCCAACATAGGGAAGTAGTTATTGAAGTATAGCTGGAGATGAGCGGAAAAAACTCCTTTTGTCCTGGCTTTCAAAGAGTTCTGGAGCTAAATCCGAGTCAGAGTCCCCATATAAAGAGAAACAAAGACCTGTAGCCTCCTTTTCAAGATCTCAGGAGCTAAAAAGAAAAAGCAGGCTAAAGAGTTCAGGGATAGGTCCTTTCTTTCAGGGAACGATATCAGGGGAAGGTCAGGTCCAAGGGCGACGATCAGGCTCGTACTTCGGGTATCAGGGAAAGACATCTTTCAGGGATTGGTATCTTCTCATCTGTGCTAGGCATCGGGGATAGGTACACGTCCCGACCTTGCGTCATAACCACGTTTCGGCTTAATCCCAATACCCCTTCGAAAGAACTTCCACCCAACTGCCCCTATCTACCGTCCTCAGATCGTGACAAGGAATGCCGTCTAGAAGCTGAGAAAACGATCGAATCTCACTTTTGCGTATGGGTGTGGGTGTTAACGAGGTTAATACTTTACATAAGCTAATAGTTATCCAGTTCCGGAATGCCCCTTCTCAAGCTCAAGGGAGAGTTCCACCTGCTCATGAAGGACCCTTCGCGAGACTCTTTACTCAGACCTTTGAGACACCTTCTACACCATTTCATGGAAGACTTTCAGTGTTGCTTCTTGTATAGCTGTGAAAGTTGCCTTTTTAGCCTCATCTTCCCTTTTGTAGCTCTACCTTTTCTTTATGACTTCACTTCGCTTCGCTTCGTTCGTTGGGGAAGAGTTCGGGCATCAGAACGTCTGCTCGGACCCAGATCCTTTTCATTCAAATAACGACTAAATCGATGCTCTCGAAGCCCCGTCGTAGCCGCTCAGTCGCCGCTCGGCTAGCTACACTATACGAAGTGTAACGAAGTCTAGTACACTTCTTTCTTTTGCTTCTTTTTGATTGATACCTAACAGGTACAAATACAAAGACAAGGAAAGAGATAGACAAAACAAAGGAAAAGGGCACCCAGTGCGACGGTTCCTATACGTCCTGCTTCGCTTCTTTCTAATGCGGCAATAAGAACACCCAGCGGGGCGCTTTCCCAGGGGTTGAAGGCCGGACAAGGCAGTGTTTTCAATTACCCAAGTGGGCCAATAGAAGCGACTCCTTTTCCTTCGTGTCTAGAGGGAAGCTAAATATGGTTCTGAAGAGGGAGGCAGAGATAAGATAAGCGTCCTAAACTGCGATTATGGGCCTTAAACCGATGCCCAGAAGACCTTTGCGGGTGGGTTGTACTGGAGCACCTTTTCCCGATGTTATGTCCTTTAGCAACACCCCTAAAGGGGACGGATTTTTGAACCTTGCCCCTCCGCTCACTTCTTTGGTAGCAGCTAGGATAGCATCGGAGGGCAAAACAACGGATCTAGTGCGATAAAACCGCCTAGGAGCCTCCCACGTGTCCTTCCCCAGCATCCCATGTTCAGGTCCTTAGACGGGTAGTGACCCGACGTTGCATCATTAGAGGTTTTGCCCCTTTTGAAAACGCCTTTCGGGAAAGCGCTTACCCGCCCCTTCTTATGGAATTGAATGTTCCTACTTTCAGTTGAAGTCAAGTCTGTTCTATGCTTCGTTGCCCCATCTCGTACGTGGGTCTCCTCAGAAACTGTAAGCTCAAAGTTTGTCTATCGTTAGTAAACACTAAGCTAGCGGGTTTTATGATTAAAGGAGAGCAGTGTTCCGTAATTGTCTTCCCTAGAGTCCATTTAAGGGTTCCAGGAGATGGTATCCATGTCGGTGCAATTTTCTAGAAAAAACAAGGTGGATTCCTAGAAAAGTCTATTGTTTGCCAATCTTGTGGTCACTGGAGTCTGATTGAACGGTTTTTGTCTCGGTGGAGTCTAGATTTGAGTTCTCGATGGTGTGCCCTTATTGAGCTTTTCTTAGGTGTCGGTGTAGGTAGTAGGATAGCGTTATATAGGTATAGAACGCATAAGCGCGATAACATCTCCAAATGCTTCTTTCTATCCTCGAATTCACATGCACCCCTCGAGATGATTGTTACTATACGGACTCTGTTGTACTTAGCTACCCTGAAGGATTTGTATCTTCAACTGAACTCGGTAAATTCAAGTTAGAACATCATGTTAAGGAAGGTATATCTTTAACACATAAGAGCTATTGTCTAATTCCTTATGAAGGGTCTAGTGATATATTGGTTCACAAAGGGGCAGCAAAAGAGCATGTCACTCGGGAATGGTATATTAATCAATATACCAACCGAACTCATATCTAAAGTGTTACCAGCAGTTGATATGAGATCTATGTCTGTGAACATCCGACTTTCTCTTAACCATGCCATAAGAGGGTTCAGGTATATGATGCATTTGATAAATGGATTGATACTATGCCTAGATGGGTTTTTAGTATAACAGATCCCCTCTTGCACACATGCTTTCGTTATTACCACAGTATCTAAAATATCTGAAAGCAGAGATACTGAAACCGGCTTATGGGTTGCCTAAGCACATTGACAGCTTATCATTTCTCGTACTCTATGACCCTTGGAATCGATGGATGGCAGGGAGTGGGACTCGCGAACTGGACAGTAAAGTGACAATAGGGTGGTCACTCGGAATACTTTTGTTAGGGAAAGCCTAGTAAAGTGGTCAACTAATAAATATTCTCAATAAAGAAAGGACTGGATCAGAGAAGTATGATGTAGTCCCCTTCCCTGGGTATCACGAACAGGGCATCACAACCATCATTCGAGGAATGTTTCCATTCCGATAGTGGCATCCGGAGTCCTCCCTACTGATCCTTCGGAGCCGGGGTGCAAAGGAAGCAAGAGCACTGGGAGTACGAATATCCTTAGTCCTTGGAAGGGTGCTATATCGGTGGTGATGTTCTTACACATCATTATATCCATATTGGAAATCAAATAATCATCTGGCCCATCCCGAACTCGAGCTACTTCATTCTCTAATAGGCTTGTTGTCCCCGGTCTTGCTATTGACTCCCTAGCTAGCTCAAAAGGAATGCCTAACTCTGTTGAGACAGATTGGACAGTTGGAGCAGCCGATAAACCAGCCACAGCAGAAACAGAATGACTAGTTTCAACAAGGCGAGCAGGAGAAGCTACTCTCTTTTTAGTCGCATCCGTGGAAGGAAAGGATTTTTATATCGCATATCGAACCGGTGAAGCAAATGACTTTCTCGAGTGAAACGAACAGGTCTGGTGCTTCCGAGCCAGCAAGGGGACTAGTTTCAACAAGGCGAGCAACCCCAGCTATATGTATGTATCCAGGACTATGATGTATCCAGCTCAGTTGGAAAGCACTAGTTTACTTCCTCGCTACCGACCAAGCTACGATACTTCTTCTCCCTTGTACCAGTATTCATATCTATGGGGCTAAGATATAGCAACATTTGGAACATTGGATATAGTACCTCTACGTGCCGGATCCTTAACCCTTCTTTGCCTCCAGCTCTCCCTCGCGCATAGGTGTCCAAAGCTAGCCTTTTCTCCTGTAGTAAAGTGGTAGTTGTGGGTCAACGATCTATTCTTGTTGGTTTGGATGGAGAGCGGCTTGATGTCATGGAGAAGGGCCTAACTAAGGGCTAAACTAAACCGACCACCATTAGGGTAGTCTTTCAGGTAAGGCGCATCGATAGGAAAAGTAGGGAACTCAGCGAAAGGATGTGAGAACAGAAGCGAAAGCGAAGTTCAGTCATATAACAGAGGAGAGGTTTTATAGATCTCGACTGTAAGGAGAGGGATGAAGCTTAGCGAATGAACTACAACACTTTCCCCATATAGAAGGCGGGAAAGGCTTTCCGTAAGAATGAGAATCGCGCCTAACCAGGTCATGTGAGCATCCAAACTTGAAAACGAATTATATGACCAAAGCGTCCTAATTGTCTTTCCCGATCCCAAATAGGTAAACAAAACACGGGGGTGATTCAATTCACTTTTGAAACTGCTAGGAAGAATTGAATGAAACCTATATTCCTAGTAGCCTGGGGTTTGAATTGATCATTTATGCTAAAAGGCGATCAGAAAGTTGATTAGTGTCGAAGAAGTAGGTGTAACCCTTGACTTCTATGGTGGCGAACCAGAAGAAATTCCCGTAGCACTATTCTTGCAATTCAGATAGTCGGTCTTTACCTCTTCCCCGGTACCCCATCCATTCTCTGGCAGGCTTGGGATGCCAAAAGCTAGCATCACTCTCATATCTCCCCCTTTACCCAATCAGCTATATCTTTTGAAGCCACGAAAACTCGGTGATATAGCCAATTCATAAGCATGCTCTGTCCGTCGTATTCAAAGATTCGGGATTGGATTGAATTCCCAGGTCTTCGAGTCGGGTGCACTCAATAATAGGGCTCGTCGCGCACCTTGTCGATCAATTGCAAACCTGATGACTTTTCATCTTATGAGATTTTGTTTTTAAAGCTACCTACGCATATGCCATCCCGCCTGAAGATAATCCCGCAAAACAAAATCCGGAATGATAGATTCTTATGCCCGGCCAACGTCTATAGTTCGAAGTGGGGGTTGCCTCAGACTTGGCTATTCTCATTTCAATGTGCTAGGACTCTGTCCAATCGCCCTACTAGGGCCTTTGTGATCTTAAAGAGGTCTTGCAGAGCCTAATCTCTACACGCGTTCTTTCGAGCCTAGGTGGACTTTGTCCACTTCCTAACTTGCAACCTTGCGTAGCTACACACCGCAGGTCTCTGTGTTGGTCTTCATCGGATCGTTGTCAGCACCGCTTTCGTAGTTTTTTCCCGACTCCCCCTCTTTCTTGTCCAGCCCTCTACTGGTGGGGGAGACCCCCTATTATACCCTAGGCATGGCTTTTTCGCCCACGATCTCAGCAAGGTCTGCGCGGGGTGGTGCTTAGGAAGAAAAATGAATTGAGACGGTATGCATGGTTTTCCTAAGATAGACAAAGATCATCACTACTAGTTCTTTCGATCTCCGAGGATCGATGAAATTGACTCTTAGCTGCCGAGGTTTGACCATCATGAAAAAACGTTGGTGTACGGTCGAGTGTCATAGAGAAAATGAAGTATGAAAATCAAAGTACGAAGTAAAAGGTGACAGGTGTCGCGTAACCACGTTAAGGACTTTTTCCTGGCTCGATATAATTGACCTACTTTGAACATCCATCGGAGAAGGCTGAGCAGGCGGATAACAAGATGATGAGTACTTCTTTTGGAGGAGTCCTACAGGTTTTGATAACTAGTTGCGTTGCAGCGACGTGCCACAAAGGCTTTTGGTGGTCTTCTTGGAATGTTTTACGGTTGAATGCCGGTCAAATAAATAGAGGCTCGGATGACCAATTCCCAGGGTGTGTATGCTGGAACACGCCGACGAGGCGGTCCTTCCCACGGATCGATATCGGATACCAAACATGTACATACATGATTTCGATTAAACCCTAAGCATGCTCCTAAAGGACGAACAGAAAGTTTACCTTTCTTCAAGGCTTTGATTCGATCTGAGCGATCTTCTAGTCTGTGTCCCGACCACGTTTGGACGCCGGATGGACGACGATCTACCAAACGGTTGAAAAGAGCGGATTGTATCTCGTCTTATCTGAACCCTTCACGTCACTTCTCCACGATGGTGGCTGAAGAATGTCACGTTTTGTGATGTGTGTTAGGGTTGAAGACGTGCAATCCCTCCTTTTATAGAGGTCCTTGGGCCAGCCTAGGGATCTCTTAGAAGGTATAGGGTTTGGGCTCCCTACAGGCCCAAATTCTTATGTTCAGCCCAGAACACAATTTGGCCCGTAAATATTAATTCATTCCACTAGAGAATTAATATTGTACTCCCGTCCTATCCCGAAATGAATCAGGGCTTCTATTAGACTCGATATAATTCCCCGTGTTTAAGATATCGCACGTCCATTAATTATTAAAGCTTCTGACTGCTTTAATTAATTAATATCTTTTAATCCTTAAGTAGTACCACTCAACCTTATTATCGTACGGATTAAATCCACCTGCAGGGTTTATACGATAATCCTTATGAGTTCCTTAAGGGGACGTCACCAACCTGGATGTCCAGGACACGGTGCCCTAATGCCAATAAATAGATATCATGCAGATAGTGTTGTTACCCAAGATACGGAGCTATTGAACCAATACTTGGTCCTCACCCATGGTAAGTCAAAGTAACAAACAAATATCCCATATATCTAATTACCACAGTTAGGGTTAAGAATTAGTAGAGTCACCGAGACCTAGGTTCTTCATGATAGTCAGAACAGAAGAACACGTCTCAACTGTGATCCTTTCAATGCGACGCAGCGCACTAGTATAAACCAATAGCCAAGACAAGCTACATCCAGTTTATACTACAACCTACACCGATAGTCATGTCCATAACTATCTCAGTTGTGAATACCATTTATATCTTATAAGGAACCGACAATGCAATCTTCTGTGTGACTACTAACACACCACATTGTCTACAATATAAGATAATTGGACATTTAGCATACAAGCAATCATAAAGAATGCAACAATGTGAAAAACATTTATTTCAGTCAAATGGGAAATCGAATAATACAATCCAAAAGCTCACGTAAAAGTTTGCTTTACAGTATACTCCAACAATCTCCCACTTATACTAAAGCTAAACTTTTAGTATATAAACACATGCCATAACAATTCTCCCACTTATACTCAAAGTCTAGCTGCAACACATCGTAAACCAAGACCCTCTACGTGTTTCTCGAAGACATTGACAGTCAGAGTCTTCGTGAAAGGATCAGCCAGGTTTTCCAACGATGCTATCTTCGTCACAACCACATCTCCTCGTTTCACGATCTCTCGTATAAGGTGGTACTTTCTTTCAATGTGTTTACTGGCCTTATGTGCTCGGGGTTCTCTCGAGTTTGCGACTGCACCAGCATTGTCACAATAAATTGTGATACACCTAGGCACACTCGAGGATACCCCTAAGTCCAGTAAGAAGCTCCTGAGCCAAACAGCCTCCTTTGTTGCTTCTGAAGCAGCAACGTATTCGGCTTCCATGGTAGAATCTGCGATGCATTTCTGCTTCACACTCCTCCATGAGATCGCTCCGCCTCCCATCATAAACACATAACCCGAGGTCGACTTTCTCTTATCTCGATCAGCTTGGAAATCAGAATCTGTGTAACCCAAAGGAGTTAGACTGTCTGATTGGTAAACAAGCATATAATCCCGAGTTCTTTTCAGATACTTGAGAATATGCTTTACCGCAGTCCAGTGTCCTTGACCAGGGTTAGACTGATATCTTGCTACCATGCCAACTGCATAGCAAATATCAGGCCTCGTGCACAGCATGGCATACATAAGGCTTCCTACAGCCGAAGCATAAGGAACCTTAGCCATTTCCTCCATCTCCTTTTGTGTCTTTGGACACATATCCTTAGATAGAGGAACTCCATGCCGAAAAGGTAGCAACCCTTTCTTGGAGTTCTGCATGCTGAAACGAGCAATCACAGTATCAATGTAAGCAGCTTGAGATAGACACAACATTCTCTTCTTCCTGTCACGAATGACCTTGATTCCAAGAATGTACGATGCCTCACCCAAGTCCTTCATTTGAAACTGTTCTGAAAGCCATACCTTTACGTCTGACAAAACCTTGACATCGTTGCCAATGAGAAGAATATCGTCTACGTATAGTACTAAGAATACCACTACGTTTCCGTTGCTCTTTTTGTATACACAACTCTCGTCTTGACATTGATTAAATCCATAGGACTTAATCACCTCATCAAAACGAATATTCCAAGACCTAGAAGCTTGTTTTAGTCCATAAAGAGACTTCTTTAGCTTCCATACTCGATGCTCTTGGCCTTTCTTCACATAACCCTCGGGTTGCTGCATATAGATGTCTTCATCCAAGTTTCCGTTAAGGAAAGCTGTCTTGACATCCATTTGCCAAACCTCATAGTCCATGTGACTTGCTATGGATAAGAGAATCCGGATCGACTTAAGCATGGCTACTGGTGAGAAGGTCTCATCATAATCGATTCCCTCTTTCTGAGTGAAACCCTTCGCAACCAACCGTGCTTTGAAGGAAATAACCTTCCCGTCAGATCCTCTCTTACGCCTATAGACCCATTTGCACCCAATGGCTTTCTTGCCTTCAGGAAGGTCCTTAAGGTCGTATACCTCCATAGCATCTATAGATTCAATCTCAGAATCCATAGATTTCTGCCAAGAATCTGCATCTACGTCTTGGATTGCCTCATTGTAGGTCCAGGGATCACTATCATGCTCTTCACTTGGGATCAAGTCCGAAGACTCTCCCACAAACATGAAACGATCGGGCTGACGAACAACCCTCCCACTACGACGAGGTAATTCAGGTGTAAATACATCAGAGTCAACACGTTGTGCAGTCTCTTGTGGTATATCTTCTTGCACACTCGGTATGCCATTGTCTTCCCTCAACTCTTTGAGAATAATCTCACTCTTGAACTTATGCTCACTCATATAGTCTTCTTCTAGAAATCGGGCATTGGTGCTCACCACCACCCTCTGATCTTTAGGACTATAAAAGTAACCACCTCTCGTTCCCTTTGGGTAACCTACAAACAGCCGTACTTCGGTTCTAGGTGCCAACTTATCAGCTTCCTTATCCAACACATGTGCTGGGCAGCCCCAAATCCGAATGTGGTTTAAACTGGGCTTGCGCCCGGACCACAATTCTATTGGAGTTTTCGAAACCGATTTAGAAGGCACAAAGTTAAGAAGGTACGCCGCTGTTTCTAAGGCATATCCCCAAAACGAGGTAGGTAATGAAGCATAGCTCATCATCGATCTCACCATTTCTAACAGAGTCCTATTCCTTCTCTCTGCCACGCCATTCTGTTGGGGAGTACCAGGCGCAGTCAGCTGGGATGTAATCCCATTCTCTAATAAGTATTGCCTAAATTCATTGCTAAGGTATTCGCCACCACGATCAGATAGCAGTGACTTGATACTTTTCCCTTGACGGTTCTCCGCTTCTGCCTTGAATTCTCTGAACTTGTCAAAGCATTCAGACTTGCGGCGCATCAAGTAAATGTACCCATATCTTGAGTAATCGTCAATAAAAGTAACGAAATACTCAAAACCACCTCTAGCTTGAATAGACATAGGCCCACACAAATCAGAGTGAATCAATTCCAACACATCATTGGACCTATTCCCCTTGGCCTTAAAAGGCCTAGAAGTCATCTT